TGCGAGAAAAGTGTAAAACAACATATAGGTCGTCTGCAGACAGGCTATATACAGCTACCGAGGAAGCGACAGATGTAAGATCATTTATAAAAATCAAGAATAAATAGGGCCAAGTATCGAACCTTGGAGCACTTCAGAGCTCACATGAATTAGGTTTGAAAGAACATTGTCGATCTTAACACACTGGAATCGATCACCTATATAGGAGGTAAACTTAGTCGAATAATGTCAGGAAGCCGAAAAGACTTCAGAACATATACTTCAAAATATCGTCTACAAAGTAGGAAATCTTAAAGTACACACACATTACCTTCTAACTCAACACTGACCGAAAAAACATTTATTTTGAACACGATAAGTTGCATGGGAAACTTTGAAGTAGCGGCACCTTATAATTTTGTAGAGAATTTCACGGCGCTTCTATTAGAAAAAGGATTTGCTCCAGGATACCTAAGGAACAGGAGTTAGAACAAAAATATCGAGACTGACATTATTTATGATACACCCATGAGAAACGTTTTTAACCCTTGTATTCCCAAGCCTATTTCAGACACAACAAATAGAATGCATTATGAAAACAGTGACTTTTTTCACTTTTCAAGAAGTAACCGATTAAAACCATATTATTACTATATATAACTTGATGAAAAGGTACTAAACTGATAGTTTTTGTTTATTTAGAACAAGTAATACAAAAAATGCGCTTCACACTATATTGCGTACATATAGGTTCTGAGCACCTCACAGTGGGCGTATTTGGCTAGAGCAGCCAGACATGTGGTTTTATTCGGCAGATAGAAGTGCTACGTTGATAATAAATATAGTTCCTATAGGTTATCGAGTACCCTCTATCCATTGGTGAAGTCAAAACCCATTTTCGAAAACTTTAATTTTACTGGTTTTCCAGAAAACCCGGTTTTTGGTCAATTCTTCGATGTGTTTTAGCACGGTCTGTTTCGCTCTCTTCGGTTTAGCGTGACTATCTTCGGCCCTCACAGTCCATAGTAAAAGATTTGCCACAATGTGGTAGAAGATGTGAAGAAACCACGATGTTCCATTTATATACTGGTGGGTTAATGTAATATAATGATGATCACTGGCAGAAAGTGGCTCAGTCGTAAGGCCCCCTCGAACTTCATAATCGTTTTTTCTTCGAGTAATAGCTCCCTTTTTCTCCATCATTTCTTCATAAAGTTGCATGGTTTTTTCGGCTGTTCGTGTGATAGCAAAGAAATTCTCTTCCTCTATTTTCTTGATGTCTTTCCAGTCTGTTTGTTGCGTGTGACACATCAGGCATTGGGTACCTCCTAGGCCTGATTCCACCATGCGCACTTTCATGTCTTTCATTGAATCTTCAATGACCACTGTCACAGTATAATTTTGTCCGTTATGATCAAAGGAAAGTCCATGTTTTCTCAGCGCTTCTTCTTGCGGTTCAAATGTTTCATTAATGAAGCGAATCAGGTCAGGGCTTTCTTTCTCTGCTATTAGTGCCATGGGCCTTGCCCAGAAAGCACTGTTCGGTGTCTGGTTTTGCCAGAATATTTCTCCCGTTGAAGCGTCCGAAAGTGAGAGGGGCACCATCATTTTCGAGAAGATATTCGCATCCGTCATGGGATTTTCATTTGATCTGTAGACGCTCTGCCCCCTGCACCATCGTGTCCCGACTTCTGGCGATATAATAAATTAGTAGAAAGAGGAGTTTTCACTGTGAGATACTGTTCAATTAGCCTTTTCACTGTAAGAGAAATACTGTCGTTTACTGTTCTAATTGCTATGCCTCGCCCGCCCCGACATTCTTCGACGGCTGGGACTAACCGTTGCGAATGCTCCTGAACAATATTTCGATTTGGAATATGGATAGCTGCATTCAGATAGCTCTTCAAGAAATCCATGTCATTCCTGCTCATGTTGATGTGAGTTTTCAACGCAAGAGTCTGATCGGCATCTAAATTCGTGCGAGATTCCTTTGCAATTTGTCCCGTTCGATAGAACTCGTTGCCCAATCGGCCAAGTATTTGTTTGATCTATAATTGCGTTGATAGAGAAGGTAACCGATCACCTGGTTGACATCAAGTTTATTATCCGCTGCGAATTCGTCAAGTGCAGCATTCAAATCGCTCAGTTTGCGGCACTTTTGACGAGGTCCTACTTGGGTAAAATCTTGGGTAGGTCGCTTAGGTGGTTTTGATTTCTCTTTGCCGGCTGGTTTTTGGTCGGGAAATTCATTCTT